ATATATATATATAGTTGAAAAATAGAGATACGAATGATGCGCGTTTATTTTTTCATTATTGAAATTGGTGTGACCAGATAGCAAGTGGAGAACGCGTTGAAGAAACGAAAGGAACGTATTGTACGTTCGCGTACCGTCTATCGCATCGATTGCATATACGTGTACATACTTCGAGAATTCTTTCTCGTAATCCTACCATGTGTATTTGCAATGTGGTAGATCTTAGTTTTATTCTTAATTTCGAATAGCACCTGTATTGTTTCGATTCGATTGAATCTCGATTGAATCTCGATTGTAAAGCGTCACAAAGAACACTCGGTACCTCCGTATTCGTCGCGCGGTACCTGTATTCTCCGCTATGCTCTATCGTTCAACCCTTGTCCCCAGCACTGCCTCCATCCCCACCCGATCCGACCCCACCTCACCCTCAACCCCCCTTTCCTGTTACCAAACTTTATTTTCTCCTTGCGCATCGAATGCGCATCGTCTTTGATGTCGAGCGGTTATCAACTATCTTAATCCTCGCAACATCATTCCGAATCTCAACAGCAGGGCGAGACACGGGAATCTCGCGTTCGATGTTCCATCTACGGTATCACGTCGCGACCAATACGTCTTCCATCGAGATAAATTTTTCTTTCGTACACCAATTTATCTTCTCCTGTTCGGTTCAACAGCGCTCGTTTTTATATTTTTACCTTTTTATCGTCGTTTCTATTTATGTGACGAATATTTTGTACAATGTGCCGCTTCGCGGCGTAAGGTGCTAACCAAATTTTGAGAAAAGAGAGAAAATTAGTTCGAAGAAAAATTTATAACCGTACATCGTTGTTACTCGCGTTAAACTTACGTGTAAATTTCTAAGTTATTGAAATACAATGTTTGACAGAATGCTTTTCCTCTTATTTCCTTCGTTGTTCCCTTTTCCCCGCTCGCCACTCTCAGCGTATTTCTGCTTGTCCCTGTCGTCGCTGTCTATCGTAAACTTTGTATACCCGACATCGTTATACCACACGCATGCGTGATATTTACTGCATTTTAGTCTATCCTGAATTCTAAACACGTCAGTGAAATAAATTTCATCGTTACGAAAATAAACACGTAATCCGTTAACGAAAATTAACGCGATCGTATACGTCAATCGAATGTTCGTTGCATATTAAACGTTTCGATGTCTTTCGGTGGAAATGCGAAACTATTCATCGAGGAAAACAACACCCTAACCTAAAACTTACGTATACTTGTACGCAAACTTACCCATTACTTGAACTCGACAAATTGCGCAAGTGTCACACTCCACATCCCAGCTCCACATTGCCACTGCATTCCATTTTTTTAAGATAAACAGTTTATCCGTTTTTAGATTGTCATTGTCACCACGATCTCCGAAATCTTGTTCCGACTCGGCCATTTCAATTTTTTAGGTTAGAAATGACGGAACGACGCGGCGAGCTCTTCCAACGATTTATATATTCGTGTCTCCTTGTAATACTCCAATAAATTGCACGTCTTTGACACACACTTTACGTTTATTCAACCTTGTCGCACGCGTTTAGACGATATCAACGACATCGACGTCGAATCTAAAATCGGTACATTGAGAATCACGTACGAACAGCGTTTCTTGAACGTGCGATAATAACGTACAATTATGCACAACCGGTAACGGCTAACTCTAAACTTTTAACATGAACCAGACACAGTACTTGATCTGTATTGTTCGTAGGTAAGGAACCTTCTTCGATCAGCTGCATCATAGTCGCATCCATGATATTGGAAAAGACGAACGTGTTGTGCCATCTAGTGATGAAACCATCACCTGCATTTCATTCCGTTAAATCTCATTCATACGCGAATAATATTGCACGTTTAGTTAGAAATATATACGAGTGATCTGAACGAACGTAGGTTCACATAATCGACCAGAAAACGGAATTTTCGGGGCAGAAATTTTCGATTCAGCATGTGAATCTTGATCTAACGGTAACTATATGTTCTCTCTATAATGCTAATTTAATCACGGAGTGATTGTGAACAACGTATCAACGAGTATTTGTTGATTATTCGTATAAAAAAAATAGTAAAACATAACCTATGCGATATCGGTTCTTTCAGATGCTTTGCGTAAAACATGCCCGAAAAACGAATATTACGGTTTTGCTTAATGTGCTCTCGAAGGTATGTTACTCTCGACGCAGCGACAAAAGTATAAATTCGTACAAAATTGTCCAGACAAACAACGAAAACTTGAATGGTAAGTTGAATAGTTTCTTTGCGTATGGTCATCGTCGAATCATCATCGTCGATTCTTTTTAGATGTGGACGGTGCTGTGCTCGGAATAAATTCTAACTGGGAACTTTTAACACCAAGAGGATTTAGATTTTATCTACCAGGAAGCATTGGTCCTGGTTGGTCAGACGTAACCACGACCGTTCAGGTGAGGACGCAACTGATTAACCCTTGCGACAATAAAGCACAGCTTTCGTTAAATGATTCGAAAGAAAAAGCTAATATAGAAGAACTGTTTCCTGGATGTATAGACGTTGGTTCTCCTCAACTTACTATAATTACTATCAGTCAGTCGATTAATTCGAAAGTTATGAGATGGAACAATGAAACAGAAACCGAAAAATTAGCTAAATACGTAAGTATGTACAAGTTTGTTACATTTTAAGGAAGAATTTACATATATAATATGTATATTTACTATATTATCTATATACGATAAGCTTGATTCGCACATTTAACAAAGTGGTATTTTCCTGTCCTCTTTTTAATTTAAAAATTTTTAGTTTGTACTAGCAGCTTCTGATCTCTGCGAAAAATTGAGAAAAATGGGATACTGGGGAGATTTCATCAATCCATTTAGCGGACAACCACATTTGAATTCACAGAAAAATAGTACTCTTTATAAAACGGATGAGCGGTTTCGTTGTCTAGGATTTAAAATAGTACATAGAAACAATTGTAAGGTTATCGTGTTCGACAAGACCGTAAAAAATTTTCTGGGTAAGTAAGCGTAAGCATATATTTTATTTCTAATTGTAAATTATTCCTTCGTTTATCGAAGATTTATCGACGTCGCGTAATTTTATCATTATTATTTTTTTATTCGATCGACAACACGGCACGTACCGTTCTATATATTACAGGAAATCTCTACACCACTGCACCTGCGAGTACAGGATTTTTAAAAGAGATTCTGCACGATTGCGAGACTGTAAATGTTAAAGAAGATTTTTAATAAAAGTAAAGCGAGAGAAGCGCTATGGAAAAGAAATGTCGATACGATATACATTTTAACGACTGTTACGTTGCGATATTTCGTCGTTCAAGTGATATTTCTTCAATTTTTAAGTTAAACTGTATTGCATAATTCTAGAAAGAAACTTTATTCGAAATAATCGGACATAAGATGCTTGTTTTTCTCGGTATACGATTCGCATTTTCCTACATCGTGTTTGAACGGATGCGAAACTACGCTATCGATTCGATTCAAGCATCGATATCTTTATCGCTTCTGCGTTAGAGATGGAATTACTCTCTCTTTCTCTCTCTCTCTTTTTCTCTTTCTCTCTTTTTCCCTAAGGATGTGCAGCGGGTGTCGTATCTTATCCTATGTTGTACGTAAATTGAAACGGTCATAGGTAACTAATACCACCGGCAGGAGAATTCTGATATACGAGGTAAAAATAAATATTTATCTAAAAGCGCGAATAAATTCAAGTTTCGTCAGGATCGTCGCGCTGCATACGAAAGAATGTAAAGATGCGCGAAGGAGAGTCGTTCGGCGGAAAGGAAGGAAGTCAGTCGACTTCTAATTTGCGAAAAGAGCCAGAGGTACCGCTCAAATTGTCGTTGGAAACGTACTGACAGTCCGTAGATGTGACGTCTATGTACATGTCATCGAGTTCTTTTATTCGATTCCTTTGTTCCCTTAAAGTCTTCTTGAATGTGGCTGTGAAAAGTAAGAGAAATAATAATAGAAAAGAAGATCGATGTCTAAACGCGTTTTATAGACCGACGATTATCAATACGAATACATACCGATCATTTCAGAAAGCGGAATTTCTCCACCGTATTCTTTTGGCAAAATTCTCGCATCTATCGCGCTTTTCAACTCTTCCACGTTCTTGTGCAACTTCATAGAGAAATATAACACGATTAGTTCGAATAAACGTTCGGTTCAACGACATTTAAACTATATATATTGCGCATACAAGCATACGTACTAAGATTCGGTTCTTCAACTTGTCGTTCAGAAGAGAGATGCCAAATTCAATGACTTTGATCGCGCAACTTGGAATGTTAATAAAGTGTGTTTCCTTGTGTCTCATCGGTGTACTGTTTTGGATGCATCGTAACATGTTACGAATATCCGTTATAGACCAGGCGCTGAGGTGGCCCATCGTTAATCCGGATTCGTCGTTGACGTATGTATATCCACGAACTTGATTCTCCTCGTCGTCCATTAGAGCCTCCACCACGAGACTATGAGCTCGAGCCATTTGTGCGGACGTGTGTTTGTACGGATCAAAACGCCCTTTGAAAGGAGAACCGTGTAACGAAGAGAAGAAGAAGAAGAAGAAGAAGAAGAAGAAAAAGAAGAAGAAGAGAAGGTAGAAAAGAAAGGGAAGAAAATTGAATGATCAATGTTTCGCGATACTTACCGGCGCAAGAAAGTATCACTCGCCGACCGTGTTGATCGCGTTCCAGCAGTGGTATCAAATAACCAGCATCTATGATAGCTTCGATGTCTGCATCTTCGATGTCGAGATTTTGAAACCAGTTTGGATACAACTGCCTAATAGTCAGATAACGTTCCAACATTTCTTCCGCCATCGGTACACTGAACTTCTTGGTCCTGAGGAATCTTAGGAGAAAGGCCGCATCCGTCCTGCAACGTTTGATATTAGGATGCTTTTCGATCCAATGTCTGAATTGCTTCAACGCTTCTTCCTTGGTCCCATCGTCTTCGCGTAGTTCAACGCGAGCGATCGTTCTCGTCGCCTCGCTTAGCGTACATCCATAATCCTCTTCGTCTCTCGACTTGGCCATCGTCCACGTTTAAAAGAACCAGACAAACACCGCCGCTTTCCTTACGGATCACTCCGCGCTTTCGGTCCCTCTCTTTCTCTTCTTCCTCTTCCTCCTCTTCGTCCTCTTCCTTTTCTTACAAACCCCTCCTCCTCTTTCACTTCCTCCTCCTTCTCTTTCCCCGTCTCCTCCTCGTCCTTCTCTTTCTACTTCTTTACCTCCTCCTCCTCCTCCTCCTCCTCCTACTACTACGCTTCCTATTACTACCACTACCACTGCTGCCACTACTACTGTTACACTTACCTCTATTACTATTACTGTTATTACTGCTGCAACTACAACCACCACCACCACAACCACTACTACTACTACTACTACTACTACTACTACTACTACTAATGCTACTACTACTACTGCTGCAACAACAACTACTATTACTACTTGTCCTCCTCTTTCTCCTTCTCCTTCACTCCTTCACCCTTTCTCCGTGTTCCCGCGTCCTCGTTTCGCTGGTTCGAATTTTAAGCGAGCTACCAACGATTACGAGACTCGACGAGTTCTTACGCCATTCGGCGATTCGTTGTCGAAGAGAAAGTTGGACATCGATTTACTTGCGAGAGAATAACTGTCCTTGCGACTCTTCGCCGCGCTTTCTAGCAACTAACAGTCCGACCTCGCAAATCTCTCGCGTATCGTTCAATGTCCACGTTTATGTCCATGTCCTCATTCTCGCTAGCTCCACAGGCTGGTGCCAACATCCGTCGTTTGCTTTCAGAATCGCGGTCACGGCAAAAGGTCAGGCGAAAACTCGCGTTAATTGCGAATATCCGTGCAAAAGTCGAAACACCATGTTCGAACTTTGAACGCGATTCACACTGTTCTTCTCCTTTGCGGCATAGCGAATTGGTCCGAAAACGCGGAACGACTGGACGGTGATATGTTTACCGGTTACTCAAAAATTAGGTTGCCGACCACGTCGATCGGCATCACAGCGCGTTGTATCGCCCCCGGAAACCTTGCTTCTGAACCGACTTGGACCGAAGTAATCCGCTTGCTTGCTCGCACGATCAATTTAAGGCCAGATCGTGCTACGCGTGCCGCTCTTACCGCTCCTACTTTTCCCGCTCTTACCGCTGCCCTTCTTCTCTTTCTACACATTTTACTCTTCTTCTTCCTCTTCCTCATCCTCTTCCTCTTCCTCCTCCTCTTCCTCTTCCTCTTCTTCCTCCTCTTTCTTCCTGTTTGTCGTTCTTTTTATTTTCAAATACTTGAAAAAGTCGACGCGTACGCGAATAATACTCATCGTCCCTTCGCCGAGTTTTATTTCGACTAATCAAGTCACGAGCATATATCGCGCAATCGATCGCGGGATTAATTATTTATTTCGTAGGATCACGAGAATTGGTATCCCCGTAACATCGAATTCGATTCACAGATGAACAGTGCGCAAAGTATGAAGCGACGAGCACTCGAGAATTCACTTTCTTCTCGTAATTCTACGTTTTACTTTCACCGCGCGTCCACTTTCGGTCGGCCCGCTGAACAACGAGGCTACGTTACACGACAGACTCACGAATCATCGAACGAAACGTAATGAAATTCGTGTCGTTCGTATGAAGCAACGAACAGTAACGTCAAGGTAAAGCACGTTCACTTACCAAGATCCGTTGTGTCCGCAACCGCGAGTAAGATTTTACTAGCCGCTCGTAGCCTTACGTTTTTCTCCGCGTTCCATCTCCTTTCTATCTACAATTTCTATTCCTCCGTCGATCCGAGTCGATACGTGTGTCCCTCGAAACAAAAGTATATCCTAGTTAGCACGAATGCGCGCTTCCAACTTTTCCATCCTTACTAATTTTTTCGATGATCAACGGTCCGTGATTGTCCGTTACACGTGACTGGTGTTTCTTCCCGTTCGCTTGCGTAATCAATCGTGTACCACGACGTTTCTCGACTTGGTGAAAGTCGCGGTTCCACTGCATTCGAAGTCCTGCCTTTCTACTCTTTTCGACCGTGCGTGTATCTTCGCGTGTATCACGCGTCGATTCATCCGTGTTTTCTCAAGCCGTTCGCTTGACGCGCGCATATGGAGGAAAAAAAAAAAAGAAAGAAAGGAAGAAAAAAAAATGGGACGAGCTAAAGTAGAACGAGCACAAGTATCTTTGCTCGGAGAATAGAGTTTATTCTCCGAGAGATGGAGATGGAATTACGGGAAAGAGGCACCGATATTCTCATCGTAACGTGTACCGTGCACTCCTCGTTGCGTATCCGGTAGTTTAACGTTCGTGTAACAGGGATAGCATGGGATAACAAAACTAATTACTCTTTCATGAACAAAATATAATTGGTGTATATAACGTATGCGTACATTTGTAGACGTATTTAATCGTCTTTCTTTGTTAGATACGTTTCTCATCGATTGTTTGTACATCACCGTATTTCATCCGTTATCGAAGAATTATCGTGTTTTCTCGGGATAAGTTTTACTTCCGTAATTTCGAAATCCATCGATGCTAAGTACACTTCGACGTTGCGCGTGATAAATTTTCTTTTATATGGAAATACATCTGCGCGCGCTCGCGCGTGTACGCGTGTGTGTATTCGATAGATAAAAAAATCATACAGAATCGTTGAAAAAGGTGCAGGTGTTGCAACAGGACAAGGTGATCCTGAAATTCGTAGAATCGTGGAGAAAAAAGCGTCGAATTTCAAAGCGGGCAAAACGTATTTAGCATGTTTTCAAGCCGCATTCGTCTTGTAAGAAATTCCAATTGCAACATCCGCGTACAACGTTCAAGGAGTCATCTGAGGATCACGTTATCGAACGTCAGGTCCCTACTGTCGCGCTGCGTGGCTGACTTTTTGAACGGATTCCACGGCAGTTTCTTGGCTACGTGAGCGGTAGTAACGGAACCGGCAGGACTCGGTTGGCCAGAAGAAATTCCGGAAGAGCTGCTCGCCGAAACGCTTCCTTTATCTGGCTGATTAGTCTTACCCGGTTTCTAAAATTGTTAATAAGTCCTCTAATCGTTAGACCGTTTTTCTCTGGATCAACGACGACACGTGCCGTTCGACTTTATACCTTTAAATAATTTCTATCCATCGGTGTGACCAGTTTTAAATTAATAAAATCACCGGATTGCTTGATCAATCGAACTACTTGATCGTGGGAGGACCACTTTGCGTCTTTATCGCCGATTCCGACTATAAAATCACCTTCCTTCATACCACCTAACTGAGGAGAGAAGAAAAAGAACATCCGCTAGACTTTTTACGAGGAAGAAAAATTCAACGAAATTCGTATGTATACTTACGTCAGCCAACGAATTGTGATCTACTGCAGCGATTATTACAGGAGCATCTCCACGAACGCTAAAACCGAATCCCTCGCCGTCAGGACCTCGTTGAAGCTGTATCAATCGTGGCGCAGTCCAATGCCTTTTAGCCGAAAATATAGCGACAGGACCTAACGATCTAAAAAGATCTTCTACTCCGTGTTGCCCAAAATCTGGATGCGTGATGTTCAGTTGAAATTTCGTAGACGCTGTATTTGGAAAATACAATTTCATCATCGTTACGGACAACAACAACAGCAACAACGCCCGCTTGATCAAAAAACCCTTTTTCCATCTTACCTATAATATCCGGGGGATCTAATAACCCTCGAAAATCATCCTCGTCCCCGATTCCGTTGTAATCCTCCATCGTCGATTCCTGTACCCTCTTTAAAACTTTGGCGAGCGCCTGTTTCGCTTTCAAGTCTCTGCACATCCTTTGCAGCCTTTGGCTTTCTTCGTGCAAGACCAAAGCTTCCCTGAGATGCGCTTTTGCTGAAATACAACGAATCGGATCAGTCGAGATGGGGTGGTGAAACGTAACGAAATCTCGCGGTTCGTCGTTCGTTAATCGTTGCCCACCTAACAGCTTCCTTTCGTTTTCATCTCGTGGCACGATCACGTCTAGTTGCGTTTTTCCGTCGCTCTTTTGCACGTGCTCAAGCGCGAGTTTAGTTTCCGCACGCCATTCGGTGAATGGCCTATCGAACAGTCCAAGCGCAAGATGTTTGTGCGCGAGAGCCAAGTGGTGCTCGCGTTTTACCATGATCAACGAAATCCAGGTCTCCGGAACGTAGTCGCGGACAGGTTCGCGCGAGATTAACCCGTGGACATCGCTGTAGACGGCCGCAACCTAAGCAATCGACGACCATTCGCTGTTTCGTAAAATGGTTCACGGGATCTAAGCGAAATATAGGCGTATTAGATTTACGCGTACGTAATATTTTGACGGCCGCTACCTGTGACGCTTCCTGCGCTAGATCTAGACAAACGTCGATGTTCCTCCCGTCCTTCGATTGAAGTTCCAGCTTTTCGAACAAGCATTCCCTCGCTTGAGCCTGGAACAAGAGAAAAGAGACACGGGTCGAGGAATGCTCGAATCGTAGCCCAACCCGCCCCCACGCCTCTTTAGATTATAGTCGTTCGGTTTGCGGCGAATTCGAAGCGTGTAATACGGCTACGAATGCGTCGTTACCAGCATCAGTTGAACGAGCATCTCGAGCATGTCCGGCCCAAGATCCATACTCGGTGCGTTGGTAAAGTTTTCGTGTATGTAACGAAAGGTACCAGCGGCTCGGAGGAACGCGTCGATCGCCTGATCCAAGCCTCGCGTGGACAGACGATCTTGCTTCGCGGCCAATTGAGTATAGAGGGCGGCTGCGTTGAACAAGATAGAAGCCTTCTCAAACGCGACTGTTCGTTGGCAGCTCGGAACACCTGTCAGCGAGTCGAACCATTCGAAGTAGATGCCGAGACTTCGATCGGGAGGGAAGAATCTTCTTTCCACGAAATACAGTTGATTGTAATAACGCAACAGCAACGCGATGCCTGTTGCGTCTCTGGTCGGTGTTCGCGTTGCCTAAAAATCATCGAAATATTCCATTACTCTTTCCAATTTGCACTTTGCAAATTCACAACAGCGCGTGTTGATTCTTCGCTCACCTGTCTAGTCTCCATCAGGTCCGCGATCGCTTCCTCGTAATTTCCTCCATCTTCGCTATAGTGTTCGAGGATAAAGTCCTGTACGCAACATATTTCATTCACTGTCTCGGCCAAAGAGAAAAAGAGCGAAAGAGAGGACAATCGTGGCGCGTTGGGTCGATACGTGCGCGCCGCTTAGCGACCGAAACTGCTCGCGTTTATGTCGTCTCTACGTAGATGAAAATATCCACGAGAAATGTCGCGAATCACGCTGGATTTGTTACGCAAACGTTCGGAGCACAACGAGGGCGAAATTTCGACGCTCGAAGAGATCGCGTTGCATCAAGAAAATATCGAAAAGATCGAACTGATCGACAAAACGTGCAGGCATTTGAAAATTTTGTTGTTGCAGCACAATCTCATATCGAAGATCGAGAATCTGAGCAAACTGAAGAGGTTAGAGTACTTGAACTTGGCATTGAACAACATAGAGGAAATTGAAAATTTGGAAGGTTTGGAAAGTTTGAAGAAGCTGGATCTCACGGTTAATTTTATCGGTAACCTTCGAGGAATCAAAAAATTAAGGTACACTGTCTTCAAAAATAAATAATAAATAAAACGATATTCGTCGTTGAGCATAATCGAGCGTAATCGAGCTTAATCGAGCATAATTTGTCTAACATATCGTAGGTGCAACGAACATTTGGAGCAGCTGTTCCTGATGGGCAATCCATGCACGGATTACGAAGGATACAGAGAGTACGCGATCGCAACGCTGATCCAACTGAAGGAGCTAGACGGCACACCGATCGAGAGATCCGAACGTATAAAGGCGTTGCAAGCTTACGCTCGAATCGAAGGGGAGATCATCCGGAGTTGCACGAGACAAGAGAAAGCGAGAAAGGCGGAATTACTCGATTTGCAGGAAAAGACGAGATCACGAGTAAGCGAGTTTTCGTCATCGCGTACAAGCAAAAGCTTGATCGTGCTATGGTTATTCGCAGGAGGTCGCAGACGCAGAGGAGCGTGGATGCGAGCAGAAGGAAGAGGAAGGGCAGGAGAAAGAGGAGGAGAAAGAGGAGAAGGAAGAGGAGGAATTTTGGAATCAACCTAGTCGTCACACGCCGGAGGAACGCGTCGCTATTGCGCACCGGTTTCTACGAAAACAGGAACAAAAGAATCGGGAAAAAGATGGCGGAAGCGTACCACGAATCAGCCACAAGTTAAAACTCTTCGACTCCGAGGGCAAACCTTATAACGCGAATCAACCAAAGATAGCGTTCAAGTTGGACGATGAGCGGTACAGCGATCGTATCGTCTTGGAGGTTGCCCTGTACAAGTAAGCGACTATCAGACGAACAGAACGAACGACGATTAAACGTACACAACGACGGTTACGATTTCAGATATTTGGATACAAGCTACGTCGATGTGGACGTACATCCTGACTATGTGCGTGTTACGATTAAGGGAAAGGTATTACAATTGACACTGCCCAGCGAGGTATCGGTAAATGATAGTACGGCTAAACGAAACACGACCACAGGCAGCCTGCTGGTGACGATGCCTCGCTTGAAACGACTACCTGCGATCTTTCCTAGAAATACAGAGTCCGCTAAAGGAAAATCCGATAAAACACGGACGGTGATCGAACGAAGATCAGCAACGAGTGTACGAGAGTACTTGGAAATCGGTCCAGTCGCGAGTGACTTGGACTTTTCGAAAATTTACACCCGGCCAACCGACGCGGTTGGTCGATCGGTGGACAACCAAGAGGAAACGTGCTCGAAACGCGAAACGTTCTGTCTCGATGACGATTCGATGGTACCGCCGCTGGAATGAACCTGCTCCGGCATAAGACGCTTACCTTGAATGGATCCCGAAAGTCGATATCTTTGGTTTCCTTCAGTCCCAACGGTATCATCGGCATTGCCGGTTCCTCGCTAAAAGCACACGCATAAGTAGGTATATAAATAGACAAAGTTTCTAGGCTACTTCGCAACTGAACGCAACACACATCCCACCGACCTGTCTATGTTCTGATAAAGCTCGACCGAGCTGTTCAGCTCGGCGAGCTGCTCCTTCAGCAACTGCAGGTTTGAATTGACGAAACTCAATTCCAGTGCAACGGTTTCTCGCAGCTTTCTGTTCGTGGTCGCCCTGAAACGTAAGAGAACATGGAATATATATCACAGATCAGGAGTTAATGGACACGTAGACAAGAAATAAACGGATAGTTTACTTGAAGAGATTTTCCGCACCGGCTCGTAACCGAAGTTCCTTGTTGATCTCCTGATTCAGTTTGCTTCGTTTGTTCTGCAGCTTTCCTCTGCAAGTAGCCACCCTGGGATCGGAGCCCTGCACAGCCAGTTCAACGTCTCTTTTACCAATTCTGACGCGGTGTAAAACGACTTGGCGTCGAAACTGCTGCCGAGATCGCCGTTTATACTCGCGGCACGAAGAAATATCGCGAAAAGACGAGCTATCGAGAATCCTAGCGACAGGAGAGCAGTACAGATGAGCTGAGTGCGAAACGAGCTCGGGGGCTCGGGCTCGTCGGCAACGCTCGCAAACAAAAGAACGTGATTCTCGTATTTTCCTCACCCCGAACAACTTTATCGTCGAGGATTCTCGCAATATTTCTACGTCCTCCGACCGACAGGGGGAAACTTTTTCTATTCGCGAATACCGCGACGGCGCATTCTCGTAGTCTGTCCTCTTCTCCCGCTCGTCCAACGAAGTCGGCCGGGATGCGCGATTCTTCGACAGAGCCGCGTAACAAGTCCACTTCAACATAGTATTCGTTCTCGCAGCCACATGGTTCGTCTCGAGCACTATTCCATGTCCGTCCGATGCTGCGAATAGGAAAGTCGCTTCGTTCGATCGGAAAAAACAATACGTGCTATGTCCGGACTACTTCGTACGATAGACGGGTTCGCGCAGTGTTTAATCGTTCCTCGGATTTCGTGATATCTCGTTGAGCGCCAACGATCGCGCGCACGCGTGCGCGCTCTTCGATGCGCGACGCACCCAACTGCGACGCAACGTTTGCTCGCGGAAGCTTCTACGGATGTAGCAAAGACGCGCAATCAACGTCCAACCTCGTTATTCCTTCTACCGCTTCCTTTTGCTATTTCGCCAAATTTATCTCTCTCTCTCTCTCTCTCTCTCTCTCTCTCTCTCTCTCTCTCTCTCTTTTTCTCTC